AGATCGTATGCCTATCTATCTAAATAGGTCATTTACATTTTTACAGCTCATGGACGAGTTTTTTAATTCAGTAACAATTAACAGGCCTGTTAAACGCTCTGATTAAAATGTAACTACCTAACAGCTTTTATCTGCCTCCACTTTATCAGTCTAAAGGGACACAGTTTCTAATCATATTCAGAAAAATGTGTGGAAGGTAGATGGTGGTGATTTCTGTAGCATATGCATTAGCAGGTTGGTCTTTATTATAGGAAATGAAATACTATGTATACACACACACACACACACGCATACATCATATATATATATATATGTGTGTGTATATATATATATATATATATATATATGTATGTATATATGCACGCACATATATAGTATTTCATTTCCTATAATAGATATCTTCCATGCAGCACTGATGATTAGAAATGTGTGTATACATAATATACTATATTTCCTATACTATACTATATAGTAAAGCATATAGCCTGCACATTAACAGGGTTGGTTCTTATTATAGGAAATGAAATACAATGTATGTGTGTATACATGTGTTCCTATGTGTGTGTGTGTGTGTGTGAGATCAGGGAGGGGCCATCACCAGGGAGGACTACACCTCGGTTGCTCGGGGCTTTAGGGGGGCGGTCAGGAAGGCCAAGGCGGAGATGGAACTGGGACTAGCTACCCGGATCAAGGACAACAAGAAGTCCTTTTTTAAATACATAGGGGGTAAAAAGAAAGTACTGGGTAAAGTGGGGCCACTGCAAGACATGCTAGGAAATCTGGTTGTTGCACCAGATGACCAAGCTAACCATTTAATAATTTCTTTGCCTCCATTTTCCTGAGCAGGGATCGGGTCACCCCTCCCTCCCCCCCAGGACCCCCATAGGACCCAGGGGAAGCACACCCAGGCCTAGGGTCAGTGAGTACCTAGTCAGGGAACTTCTGGAGGGACTGGACGTATTTAAATCAGCTGGTCCTGACAACCCCCACCCCAGAGCGCTGAGGGAATGAGCAGAGGTCATCGCAGGACCCCTGGCACGGCTTTACGGGCACTTGTGGTGCTCTGGTGAGGTGCCAGAGGACTGGAAACGGGCCAGTGTGGTTCCCATTTTCAAAAAAGGGAGGAAGGAGGACCCAGGAAACTATAGGCCAGTTAGTCTTGCCTCGATCCTGGGTAAGCTTTTTGAGAGAGTTATCCTGGCTCATGTCCACGAGGGGCCAGCAGGGGAGGTTATGCTTAGGGGCAACCAACATGGGTTCATTAGAAGCAGGTCCTGTCAGACCAACCTGGTGGCCTTCTATGACCAGGTCACAACACCCTTAGACGCAGGGGTAGCAGTGGACGTAGTCTTTCTGGACTTCAGGAAGGCCTTTAACACTGTCTCTCACCCCATTCTCATTAAAACCTAGGGCTGTGGCGTCGACACCTACACAGTCAAATGGGTCACTAACTGGCTGGAGGGCCGCACCCAGAGAGTGGTGGTGGACGGGTCATTTTCAACCTGGAGGGATGTGGGCAGTGGGGTCCCCCAGGGCTCGGTCCTTGGACCCGCGCTGTTCAACATCTTCATCAGCGACTTGGTCGAGGGGGTAAAAAGCACCCTGTTCAAATTTGCGAGGAAGAACCAGCAGCATACCTACAGGCTGGGGAACTCCCTTCTCGTCAGTGAAGGGGCAGAAAAGGATCTTGATGTCATTATTGCCAAAATGAACATGGGCTAGCAGCGCTGGGATGCGGTCAGGAAGGCCAACCGTACCTTGCCATGCATCCACACATGCATCTCAAGCAGGTCCAAGGAGGTGATCCTCCCCCTGTATGCGACACTGGTCAGGCCGCAGTTGGAGTATTGCATCCAGTTCTGGGCGCCGCACTTCAGGAGGGATGTGGACAACATGGAGAGGGTCCAGAGGAAGGCCACTCACATGATCAGGGGGCAGCAGGGCAGGCCCTACGATGAGAGGCTACGGGACCTGAACCTGTTCAGCCTTCACAAGAGAAGGCTGAGGGGGGACCTAGTGGCCG